GTAGTTTGATGCATCTTTAAAATTGTGTGAGCGATGGGATTTCGCAATTTTATATCATTAACTTTACTAATTTACTTTTTGTATGAAGGATTTATTGTAATAGAACTGCGCCACATATTTGATTTAAAAGAATTGTTCCGACGTGCAAATTTTCGGTCTAACAACTGATTCATTATTCTCTACTTATTGAATTATTTAGTGACTGATATAAACTCTTTAGTAAAAAGACTGAAATAACCATATTAGTAAAATCCGCTCTCACTTAAATTTTCCAAAAGAAATAAAAAATTATCAAACTTAGCGTTGCGACTGCACGCTCCACAACATTGCATCCGTTATCAATAACGCATTAAAAATATATATATATTTCGATTCGCATTATCGTTTAACGTCTGGGATGCGAGCTGAATTTTACTAAAACAAATAATTTCCATGTCTGAAAATGACTGAATGTGCAGTCTAAAGTGCTTGCATATTTAAGGAAGGCCTAATACACCTTATAATTTTAAGAAACAAGGATCATAGCTTTCATCGAGTGATTGGTAGTTTAGCGTATCTTTAAAATTTTGTATATATATATATATATATATATATATATATATATATATATATATATATTTGTTTGAATAAAAGACAGACCACGTTAAGATTCCATGTAATAAGCTATTTCACCATAACCCCTTTAACAGGGTTCTGGATCATCAGACTTTACTTCCAAAAGCTGAAATGAAAAATGAAAAGAAATTCACACGTTTTTTACGGACCTCATCAAGTATACGCAAAGTTAACGAAGTGAGGAAGTGAGGTGTGTCATATGTATCATTTTAGTTTCCTATTTTAACCCCAGTGTGTTGGCTGGATGTTGCTCAAATTTAACGCGTCTCGTCTCTAGATAAATGTGGCTACGGGGTGAACGATAAGACTTACATTAAAGGAAGACGTTACAACAACCCCAATAAATTACACGACAGGTTTCATTCAAATTCTTAGACGTTGTCAGTTCGCGTTACTTTAACGTGCATATTTGAGAGGTTAAGGTTTGATAAATATCTAAATTTTGAAACAATCTACGAAGGAATTAATTTGAAATTCGGTGGAGTTTTGGGTATTTTCTATGAAACAGTCGATTGGAAAAATCCATAGACAGAACATTGAAAGAGCAATCCAATTTATATTTAGTAATTTTTTTTTTCCACTAAAACTTTTATCTTATAGCTTGTTAGGTTGACATTTATTCGTTTGATTTTTTGTTCATTAAGTAAACTCGTGGTTGTTTTTATGTACCCAATTATCAACAGTTATTCCCATTTAAATAATTTTATTCTCCACACTGGGGCAGTATCTTTCAATCTCAATTAAAATACCAATCTAAACTTTTCCTGTTAAGGGGGTTATGGTGAAGTAGCTTATTACATGGAATCTTAACGTAGTCTGTCTTTTATTCAAAAATATCTGCTCTGAATTTTACATTGAGCTCTCTGGATATCATCCTCCTCAGGTATACCCATACGGATTACTTAAATTTGCATAAACTAAATATATATATATATATATATATATATATATATATATATATATATATATATATATGTATCTGAGATGAGGTATTATGATTATTTATATTATTTACATTATTCGGTTATTCGGAATGTTATCCTCATCTTCATTGGCATATTCAGAATGTTTCGACCGTTGTACGCACCGGTCTTCTCCAGGTGATAGGATTTTTGAACCGAACGCTTTATTTCGCACACCCAGGTAGATTGTTCTTGTTACACTCTCCATGCCTCTTCCGGTAGTCTCAGTTATTTAACTTTGACTCAGCTCACGAAGAAATTTGTTACACCACTACTGTAGTCTGGTATTGAACTAAAAACACTTTGGTCTAGACACTGGATCTAAGCAATGCGTTTGATCCAAATTCGTCAATATTTTAAAACGGGAAGAAGCGTAGTGAATATATCAGTGAAGATGAGGATAACAGTCCGAATAATGTAAATTATATATATATATATATATATATATATATATATATATATATATATATATATATATATATATATATATATATGTGTGTGTGTGTGTGTGTTACTAATTAAATCAGTATAAACGGCCTATAAATCTGTAAAAAAAAGTATCTCTTTATATATGACCTTATACTCAAAATTTGAATCATGGTATTTCCAAGCTTCGGTTTGTGAAATTATAAGTTCTATGTTCATTATATATATATATATATATATATATATATATATATATATATATATATATATGACTATATAGAAAAGAAAATATTATGTAATTTTTGGGTGTTGGAAATGATTATATGCATATATGCATGCGGATACATAATACATAGATTGACTTAGATATTGATGTGATTTTATGTATATAAGTATGTACATTTGTATAGGGGTGTATATGTGCATATATATTTATATATGTATTGTTGGTTCATATATAAATATATATATATATATATATATATGTGTGTGTGTGTGTATATATATAAATGTAGCTATCTGCGAGTTCGTATTTGTAATATGTGTGAATATATGTAAAATATAGTAATATACATACATATGCATGTATAGGTGTTTATGGGTATAGATCAGTTTATATATATATATATATATATATATTATAAATTAATTGATTTAAAATATGGTTATTTTCGCTACACAGTTCCAACCATGTTTCAAAAATAGAAGCTAAAAACCCTAATTTTATTTTTGCAAATAAATTAAAAGCATTAGTTCCATTTCATCTTCAAGCGAATTTTGGAGTAACTTTTTAAAATTTACCGGGTTTTAAATACACAGCTAAAATCACGTTTCCATGGTTACAGAATATTCTACTCAAATTGAACACAGGGTGTCTAGATTTTCCTTATGACAGTATCATTGTATCAGTTATTAGCTACATTTTGGTAAGGGGTGAGGATGTATTTTACACTGAAACCTGACGTCGGTTGAATGGATGTCGTCTGAATTTAAAAAAAAAAAATTGTTAACGGTAAAAATTTTCAACGTCATCTTTTAAAATTAAAGATTTTTTACAATACTTTTATTTAACTACGATTTGAAATATTTTCCTTTTTAATTTTTATTTTACTATATTCTTTTTAAGAACAGTTAAATGTATTAGAATCCATTATATTATGTAGGATTATTTTAACATTAAGTTTAAGTATGTATATGAGGTTACATTTTTTTTTTTTTTTTTTTTGTATATGACTATGACAGCAGAAATGGTTACTTAATTTCACTGATTCAGTAAACTTTTCTTTTATATATAAACCTATTATTATAATATTTCACATGTAAGTACTGAGGACATGGGTCATTCAAAAGCTTACATGTTATGGTATTTCATATTAATTTTATTTTACTATAGGTGTTATTTTTGGATTCTTTTTAATGCGTGTAGTATTATTTAAAAGAAATTTAGGTTAGAATTCATTCAATTTAACTACAATTTTAATTACAAATTCAAAATTACAACTTTTAAAATTTTAAAATATTTTCATTGTTTAGTTTTAATAGACTATATTACTTTTATAACAGAAGGAAAATTACTCATATTAAGTAAGATTATTTTTCCATATCAAAGTATATGTAAATTTTTTTTTTTTTTTTTTTTTTTAAATTTAAATATTATTTAAGTAATATTAATGGCACTTACTACAAAACTAGCTAAGTCATTTCTCAGATTTAGTAAACTTTATTTATTTATTAATTAATTAATTTATTTATTTCAAATATATGTAACCTAATTAATAAAGTTTCATATGTATGTATAAATAACATGTTAGAATTCATTTTATTTTACTACAATTTTAATTTCAATTTTAAAATTATAACTTTAAAATTTTAAAATATTTTCATTGTTAGTTTTAATTTAGACTATATTACTTTTTATAACAGAAGGATAATTACTCATAGTAAGTAAAATTTTTTTTTCATATCAAAGTATATGTAAATTACAATTTTTAAACTTTTAATTTAGATATTATTTAAGTAATATTAATGGCCCAGACTACAAAACTATCTAAGTCATTTCTCAGAATTAGTAAACTTTATGTATTAATTCAAGTTTAAGTATGTATATGAGGTTACATTTTTTTTTTTTTTATATATATATAAACCTAGTGATATAATGTTTCTCATGTAAGTACAAAGGACATGGGTCATTCAAAAGCTTACATCTTATGGCATTTCATATTAATTTTATTTTACTATATTTGCTTTTTTGGGATTCTTTTTAGTGCGTGTAGTATTATTTAAAAAGAAATTTAGGTTAGAATTCATTCAATTTTTTTAATTTTAGTTTCAATTTTAAAATTACAAACTTTAAACTTTTGAAATATTTTCATTGTTAGTTATATTAGACTATATTACTTTATAACAGAAGGAATATTACTCATAGTAAGTAAAATTATTTTTCAATATCCAAGTATATGTAAATTACAATTTTTAAACCTTTATATTTTAAAATATTATTTTAGTGATATTAATGGAACTTACTACAAAATTAGCCAAGTCATTTCTCGGATTTAGTAAACTTTATTTATTTATTTTAAATATATGTAACCTAAGTAGTAAAGTTTCATATGTATGTACCAAGAACAGGTTAGAATTCATTTTATTTAACTACAATTTTAATTACAATTTTAAAATTACCACATTAAAATTTTAAAATATTTTCATTGTTAGTTTTAATTGTCTATATTACTTTATAACAGAAGGATAATTACTCATAGTAAGTATAATTATTTTCCATAACAAAGTATATATAAATTACAATTTTAAACTATTATATTTAAATATTTAAGTAATATAAATGGCACATATATATATATATATATATATATATATATATATATATATAGAGAGAGAGAGAGAGAGAGAGAGAGCATACACACTAAATATATTCCATTAGAAACGTGTCATGAAAATACGCATCGACATCTGTTTGAAGAAAAATTAATTTTTCCTTACCTTATAACGGACGGTGCCGTTTTCTCAATCTGTAAGCAAGTGTAACGCGGATAACAACCATTCTGGAACAGTTGAAGCAAGACATTCGTGCCGGAAGTACTCTTTCCCTTCGCCATCAGGCAATGAAACATGCCCAACGACTGTATATAGATATGGTAGTGAGTAATGTTGATGGATAGTTGCTTGTTTCTTTTCATGCTCTGCACCCAGGTACTACGGAGGCGTTCAGAGAATGGGCAGAGGTTGATGACGTCAGGTCGGCAGTCCCGGCAGGAATTAGAGCAGTGTTGTCGATAGCCAGAGTCGCAGAACTGGACGTACTGGGAACAATCTTTGAATTCGTCAGCGCAGGTCGTCGAGACAACATATTTGTCCAGCTTCAACTGGAGATACATATTCGTCTGGGTGATGGTATCTTCCGCATCGCAGACCGGAACCATGAATAGAGCCGCGTCTTTAATCTCTGAGACTGGTTCTTTAATACGCAGCGACCAGATATGATCACGTCGGTCTTTCTCTCTTAATATGATGAAGCGATATTTTCCCTCTGCCCAGTGAGCGAGACAGTAGAGCTTCTGCTTCACCTCCATGTTCAGATCTGGGTGAATGCACAATTCCTTTCTGAAATGAATCATCATCCCTTCGCCGGATTCGCATTCGCTTTCCAAACGGATAGGAACAATCTCCTGCGGACACAGAGGTGTGCCACTGCTGTCGAACATCTGTAGGTTATAGCCACCTGAAAATGGACAACCAACTTTGTGGTCTAGAAGCTTTTCCAGCAGCACGAGCGGCCACTGATCAAGCACGAGTTTCTTGCATAACGATGGGTACTGGTTAGAAGAGAGCTCGGACTGTTTCAGTTGGACGATGATCTCGCTGCGACGCACGAATTCTAGGCACAGGAACCTTGGAGCGTGGTGCTGCTCCGAGTGGGATGCGATATACTGGCCATTGGGCAGCTCCTCGATACATTTGCGTTCATAGAGAACGCACTGGTTGGCGCGGCAGCTACTGGCCTTCATTATACCGTCCTGGAAGTAGGCAACGAAGCGGTCACCCTTCTCGTAGCCGCGCACCCAGGCATTTTGCTCTGTGTGCATGAACCTGGGAAACTTACATTCGGCCGATGTTACGCGCAGCACGACTGCTACGGCCAACACCAGGCCTGTTTGAAGCCATAGAAGAACTTCCAGCGCTTTCGTCGTCATGGGAAAAATCAACCGAAAAACAAGCTCAATGGACGGGCTGCCTCTGCAACAGAAATATCAGAAAAAAAAAACAATGATTAATAGCGATATTAAACAAAATTTCTAAGAAGAAAAACAATTTAATAAAATATTTTTTTTTAAACGTCATCACCTTCAACAGATTCTTATTGGCAAAAATAATAATAATAACAGTTTAGGTGAAAAAGAGTGAATTCACGAAATCAATTAATAAAATTGTTCTGGATTCAAGTTGGGGATAAAAAATTATATTAAACGGAATGATGGATATAAATACATGTCCGGTGCGAATACATCAATACGCTCAGAAAAATATGAAGAACTTACATTATTTCGGAACACTGTTTCTATATAACTTCTCGACACGTTTCACGTTTAAGCATATGGCCAAACAGCAGATTTTTACATAAGTAATTTCTGTCATAACATGACCTTATAAGTAGCACAACCACACGCTTATGTTTTATACTAATGTTCGGGAATACAGGACTCAAGTGCCATTCAATGAAAGGGCTTACTCTGTGGAGTAGTATGAGCGTAGGAAGAAGTGAAGCTCCTTTTGTTATTCAAGAACGATAAGGTTGAATATAATCATTTATCCGTTATCTTACGTGCATAAACCCATTCAGAATGTTGAAATCAATAAATTTGAAATAGATTAAATACTTCGGCGTACAGATCTGTTATGGCAGTTTAGTATGGGAGATAAGAGGTAGATTTGACCAACACTGTAAACCAAACATTAATCTAAGAACACGAGCCATGTTTTATGTAACATTGTCAGAGGTAAAATTCATATGGATCATGCGCATAGCGTCCAACACTTTCAGAAATATCTGAACTATCGTTTATATACAGACGTTTCTCGCATCAATGCTCAAATATGGCTTCATACAAAATAAGAGTGTAGTTATTGAAGAGATCTATCCTTGGTCAGATCTCTGTCGATACAGAATGTCAAACTAAATGTTTACCAAAAAAACAGAAACCCTATCACTTCAGCAGCTTTAACAACCGAAATTAATAGCCAGGGTGTTGTAACCTAGAAAAGGTTACTGAATGAGAAATAACCAAAATTGAGACTGGAAATAAAATGGTAATCTTTATAACATCAACAAAATACAATACTCGTCAGCGGCCAGTGGCCAGCGGCGTGAAGTAGGTAAACCACTTCTAATGGTGGACTACATAGTAAATATACCTATCTATGAACACTAACGAGTATGTCCCAAACCTCATAAATACGCTGGACACTGTTGAAAATGGAGGTAATATGCTAGGTAAAATGAATGTTGAATAAGAGAATGAAATGAATGAGAGAATCACTAATGAAACCATCATATATATATATATATATATATATATATATATATATATATATATATATATATATATACACCTCTCGTAGTTTACGCATTTTGGAAGAAATTGAATGTGTCGGCTGCTGCTAATTAACGCTCTGAATTTAGCACTGGTAATGCTTATATTTCCTATATAATGGGTTACAAAATAACTTTAGCTGATTGACAAAGAGTGAGCGACTCCAACTGATTCAAAATGGTCTCATCTATTCACACTGACGAGCTGTGATACATACATACATACATACATACATACATATATATATATATATATATATATATATATATATATATATATATATATATATATATATATATATATATTTGTGTGTTTGTGTGTCTGCTGGAAAGATTAATATATAAATATATCTATAAAGACATTTTAAATTAAAGAAAATCAAACTGAAACTGAACTGTCATGTTTCTTTCTTGAATGGCATCAAGAAAATTCGTTATAAATATTTAGTAAATGTTTTCATGCACATATGTTACAAGGAGGAAGTAGCAAATTCCTTAATTCTAGAAACCTTTAAAATATTCTGAAAAATGAATACATAAAATAGTTGTAAACTATGGATATTCCCTGGGTTTACGTTTAATATATATATATATATATATATATATATATATATATATATATATATATATATATATATATCTTATATATATATCTCTTTTGTGAAGCGTTAAATTCCTTTCACCGTCTTTAGTCTTCACTATAGACGAAGAAATGAATAATTCTATATCCTTTTAGATGTTCATGTGGATCGAAAGAATAATATTTTCATCACTAGTGTGTTTCGTAAAAGAAACCTTTTCAGGTCTTTACACTAATTGGAACTCATTTGTCCCCCATACCAGAAAAATAAATCTGGTTAAGACCTTAGTTCATAGGGCTTTATTAATTTGTTCCTCTAGCACACTTCAACAAGAGTTGAACAAAATTCGAGACATTCTCATCAACAATGGTTTTCCAGCCAATATTGTTGACCGCACAATAAAGCGGAAAATAGAGAATTTCAATATGCCCCCAAAATTTGGCCCAGGTCTTTGCCCTATTTATCTGAAATTACCTTGGCTGGGCAGAAAATGTAAACCTTTGACTGATAAAGTTTCAAATGTTGTTTCTGCTACCTTCTTTTCAGCCAAAGTACGTGTTGTCTTTGGTACTCGTACTGTTTTTCCGTCTTTTTCCAAGGATCGTTTGCCCTATCATAATAAAAGTTCGATTATATATAAATTTCAATGTCAGTGCGAAGCTGAATACATAGAGCGAACATGTCTTCGTTTGGAAACAAGAATCGGACAACATGTACCCAGACACATTAAATTAAATTTAGATAATCGCATTCGTGTTTCGCAATCAGCTCACGATTCAGCGATCGGGCAACACCTATTAGAAAATGAGTCATGCTCAAAACGTTTCACAATGGACTCGTTTTCAATTATATGCGTAAACAGGTCAAATATCATCTGTCTATTTTGGAAGCCATCTGCCTCAAATTATTTAAACCATCGCTTTCTAAACAAAAGGAGAATTTTTCACGATCGCTAAATTTATTTTTGATATATGAGCAACTTATTTTCCTATCTTACTGCTCAGGTTGGTTCATTATTATTAATTCATTATTTACGCATTTATTTTAATCGTAAATTTATTTTAATTTACGTATATATATCTTCGTAAAATTTTAGACGTGTTCATTTCATACCATTTTGGCGTTCTTTTCATTTTCATTGTTTGTTTTAAAATCATTTGCCAACGAAAGACCCTGATGAAGCGTTGGCCGAAAATTACCTAGGTCCTGCAAAAAAACAAAAAAAAAAAACAAAAAAATGGTCATACAAAAGAAATTCATTTTCTTTTAATATATATATATATATATATATATATATATATATATATATGATATATATAAATTGATATCATCATTCGATAAAATCTCAACGAGATTACGTGCATTCTTCAAAATGTTATTTTGTGCTTGCTGGCCTGTGATGTCTGTATGACTCAGCGGTCTAATGCATGTCGGATCTGATAGTAATTTCTCATATGAATGGAGAGCATATTTCCTTCATTAATTCGCTTGTTTGTACAATCCGTTCGACGTAATTAAAACTGTTTAAAAATATACGAAATGAACTCGCGTCTATTATGTACTAAAACTCATTAAAAATAGAGATATTTAAATTGAAAATAGTGGGCGTCTCTCTTTCATTAGTGCGCATCAACTTAAGTATAAACGAATAAGACAGAGTTCTATAGAATGAAAACAAACCTTCTTCCACTTTGTCATACTCCTTTCCCCTAAAATTGTTCTGTATATATAAAAAATTATATATCCTTATCCTATACTCACACACGTACACGTACACATGCAATCATGCACACAAACACATACATACATACATATATATACATACATATATATATATATATATATATATATATATATATATATATATATATATATATATATATATATATATATATATATATGTATATATATATATATATATAACTTTCTCGTCTTCTCCACATTGCGGAATATAACGCAAGAACATGAGTGTTAAACAGAAACTAATCTCTCATGATACAAAAAAAATAAGAAAGGACATCTCCTGTATTTGCGAAAAGAACCACTTACTTATAAATCAATATACAACGTATGGTAGTTATTGGTAGCGAAATTTTTAGAAAGGTAACATGCAATTAGATTTAATCATATCCTGTGATCGTTTTCGAGATTATTTTGAATTTGCACCTTCATTATTTGACATTTATATTTTCGGAAATAACATTTAGTAAAATCTCTCTATTAAATCATCAACAAGATTTCATATAATAAGAAAGCATTCACTACTCTTCTATATCAAGAGATTTGCATTTTAACGGAGCTTGAAGTCATTTCCACCGGTGGCAGCGGAAATGTCGTATCTATATCAGCGAAAACACAGCGACATCGTGCATAGAAATATCTACAACCATATAAAACAATTCGACAATCTGTTGAAAGAAATATAAATTAACAAGGAGTATTTCTTATATAAAAGCAATGAGATTAATTTTTCAGAGGTTAGCTTTCAAATATTAACGGCGAAACAGATATATCGATAAAACCGAAGTTTATCAGAAGAAAGAAAGTATTGTATTTACACTGTTTTCTTAAGTGCGCATGGTACATATTCAAATATTTTTGCCTTACATATATGTTTTACATATGGAAACATTAAGCTGGTTAGCAGAAAACTAATTTTATGACATCTTCATATTAATGGAAAGAGAAAGTTATAAAATTAATTACTGGATTCGCATAAAATGTGGTAACTTAAGAAATCATACAAAATGTAATATATTTAAGCAAGTGATCGGAATATCGATTCTTTTATACATATTTTACGGCATGAAATTCGAAGAGAGCTGTGTTGTCGATAATCTTGTTTTGTCCTAAAGAATTTCGATGATTTTGGATTAGAAGACATGGGGCGCTTTCAGATATTGGGGATCATAGTTGAATTCGAATCCGTGACGTAGGCAATGCGAAAATAAATCAGATTATGAGGGATTCTCCATAAAAGTTATTTTATTTTTTCCAGCTTCACTAATCTTGAGATACCACG